CTAAATTTCGCAGCTTTTCTCCAGCGTTCGCTGCCACTAAGTTCAATCTCTAGGCCATCATAATTATTTTGCATGCACGCGTATGCAAAAAAAAAGTCACTTTACAGCCATGGAATTCCGATTCCATTTCTGACACCACTTGTAGGATGGCTCTTCAGAATTATAGTCATTTTTAATGTTTAAGTATAATAATAAACTTTATTCACATTAACCGTTTACATTTTTACTTATGAATTGCAACTTAATAGGGTTGAAGCCCGTCTAAGTGGTCCGACGCGTTCGATCGTAAGTACGCGAATGCTTGTTTGTCTTGTCCGTCTTCTAACGCGATGTCCCTTTCGTCAAATCATTAGACCAGTTCTATTCCTTNTATATATATACATACATAGTTATTTAGCGACTTGATCAAGCCAAAATTATAAAACTAAACAAAAAATATTTTAAGTCTTAAAGAATAATATAAAGAAAACACTTGATAAACATTTATATGTATGCACATAAGTTGATAGTTGTATTAAGATGTAATGGAATTGGCATATTACAAGTAAACTATATTTTTTTTTGTAAGAGCTTTAAACTTATAAACGATAAATACAGTAAATATAAACTAAACTAATATCTTCTGCATTACCATATGTCTTCGGTGTTGATCTGAAATTTTAAGTGGCTGGGTAGAGATAGTGTAGTAGTATACATATGTCTCGATTAGTTGAAAGCCTATTTATAGCTATCATACCAGTACAATTGAAAGAATTGCTCTTCAACCTCCTAACTTTTCTAAACCCCTTCCAGCTTATAGTGCGCATTGCAGGCGTATTAGTCTGGACTCGCTAGAAAATAGAATAATTGTCCAGTTTCTGTTTTTTTTTTTTAAATCTGATCTCTGATAGTATTGACTGCCTGGTTTTCTTGAGCAGATAGGTTTCTATGCTCCGCACGGATCCCTGCACTTCCGTTCTCCGTTTTAGGTTAATGTTGTAAAAGCGAACTATTTTTCTTTCGCCACAATCTTTTGATCTCTAAAGGAGTTTAATGTTGTCTCAAAGATACTAGATATTGATTTTTCCTCGTGAATATTTCTTTTTCACTCCACATTTTATTCTGTTTATTATTAATTTAATGTATACAAGATTTTAAATATTTACTCCTTACCCTACAAATGAATTATGTATGCATCTATTGCTCTGTCTGTAAGACGTATGTATGTGTACTTCAAAGACTGAATTAATTGAAATTGATAGTATCTTTAATCTTTAGGCAAACGGATTTTTGTGTTTGAAAGCGATGCATCAGAGGCGTGATTTATTTATGTTAATTTTTTTTTATTCAATGGCATAGAGTTTTAGAGTACGATCCATGCTTGTCGATGCCAAATATTGCGCATGTTTCCCGAAGCGTACACCCGTGGCTAGTGCCGTGTGGTCATTGAACACCTTCAAGTCCTGCCATTGCTTGCATAGGTGGATTCTGTAACAGAAAAAGGAAGCGAAATGGAAAGGATTTTAGTTTAATTACTTAGCAAATAATATTTTACAAAATTAGTTAACAAATGTTGAGTGTATTATGAATATTTATATTTGGGGATGTCTCGGTTATAGTTCTTGGAAAAAGGAATTTTCTGGCAATACTCTTCCTCGAATCGATAAAAAAATCCGTATCGTAATTGCACTGTTTTTTTGTTGTTTCTGTAATATTTCCTTAGAAACGAGTGATTATTTACACATTTTGGTTTAACAGATAACTTGACAACGAACAAAACTATAATTTATTGGTCTAAGGGCTTCTTCTGCATATACTTTATCAAACTGCCTGAACATGAAAAAATCAAAGAAAAAAATATTTCGAAAATATGAAGGTAAAATATTTGAAAAAGTTAAATGACATATTAAAATCCTTTAGTTTGAACTTAAATTAGTTGAAATTAATTTGATCTATTACCAAAGATTTTTATAGCGTCGATGATCTACGTGACCCAGACACGTTTCCACGAATTAATTTGACAATAAACGATTTTGACGCGGTAAGTTTTGTAGCAAGCAATTACATACATACATATGTAAAATTTCATAAGAATGTAGAAACTAGGATTCGGTATCGTTAAGTACTACTGTACGTCGAGACCATTACCAAATAGGAATAATTGCCTATTGTCTTTAAGCCTTCAGTTTATACTTCTCCAAACGAATATTATAATATGTATATAATTTCGCTCTTTCTTGTATTCTTCCGTTTTAAGAGAGGTGGTGTGGTGAATCCGCGCGCGCCATGTTTGGTAACCACTATCGATCCAAATTATGTGAAGGATGCACGCACCCAGCGTTTGGCAAGAAAATTTCGAATGAAAAGGTAAGTATAGACTCTAAAACTTATGCAGGATTTCCACCAGGCATTAATTTTTTTGTCATCCCAATGCCTAGTGGAAATTCAGCATTAGAAACCCAATTTAAAATGTCTTTTTTGTTTGAACTACAAACAGCGATATATTACTTTTGCGCGAAATAACACGCGAGAAGTTTATGATCTACTCCACACAGCAAATGTATTTTGATAAAGAACGGGAAAAGAAGCGCCAGGAGGAAGAATATCAAGAATTGCTCGACTTTTATGAGGTAATTATAAATGTAAAAAAAAATATTAAAATATATATCAACAAAAAATGTATGCGTCGAGATTTAGTTCACAGAGAAATCACTACTAACAGTTGAAGCAAACGCATTCACTGAAATGACAGCATCAATCGCTAAGTGGCAAGAAATGCAAAAATGCACTTTAGCCGACGAGCTCAAAGCGACAATCGAAGATCACAGGCGCGCCTTGGTCGAGGCGCATGAAGTGTATCAGCGCTTCTTGTATTTGCTTAAATTAATTGTACAATAAGTGATATATATAGCGTTGGTAGCAAATTTATTATTTGTATGCTTTTAGGGTTATTTCGATGAAATCGACGATGAAGCCACAGGAAGTGAGGGTAGCAGACTAGTTTTACCAAAAGAGATTGCAGAACTTAAACCACAGAACGAAAGTGATGCAGGCATGAAACAAATCGAGGTGGTTAAAAAATATATGACGGCTGTTGTGCGTCCGTACTTGGCTAAGCGTAATCACTTGAACGCGGATGTGTGGCTGAAAGTCAGCGGAGTTTGAATAAATTTGTGACATGTTAATTAACGAGTATACAATTTTCAGGGCTTTGACTTAACCAGGAGTAAACTTTCTAATTATTATAAACGCTACACAAATTTGGCGCTATTAAATCATATTGCAGCATTGGTATATGAAAAGTTTGTAAGTAGAAAAAACTATTCAATGAAATTCAGCGAACAGTAAACTATTTGCGTACATTTTATAGCAAAAGACACAGGCACGTTGTAAAATTCCACCACCGCTGAAGGATCCTAATTTTATGAAAGAACGCGTTGCAGCTCTGAAAATGCGTGCTGAAAAGACTTTAGCAAAATATGAGAGCAAACAGAAACAGGAGTAAGCTGGAATTATTCCGACATCCTTATGTAATATAAAAACACTTTTTCCTTAGTACATTATCTTTAAAGTTGAACGCCATAATACCTATAATACTAAAGAGCTTGCAGCGCTCTGAATTCAAAGAAAATAATTCCGTCGCCGACCTAGCAAAGAAAGATGACGAACAAAGCATACGATCTATTAAATCACGTACTGAATCGGCTTTGAGTTCATATAGAGATGAGCCAGATATAACGTTGGCAAAAATTGAGGAAATCCAGGCACAGCTGCTGGTGCGTATCTATACTTATGGTTTTTTAGTCATTACTTTATAAATGGTAATTGCAGTCGTTACTAAATGACTTGGATGGCATGCCCCCTGACCTCTGCAAGGAAGCCGAGAAACGTATAAGGCGACGTGTAAACATGGCAAAGGAAAAGTCACGCCGCGCCTTGGTGGAGCAAACTCGGTTACAAAACTGGATGGCGCATTTTAAGAAACATGAATTGCAGCGGCAGAGGGATACAGCTATTTGTGTACGCCGCAAAATAAAATACGAAAATTAAAATTGAAAGAATACACATCTCAAAATACATATACATACTCAAAAAATGTTTTTAAGAGATTGTAGCTGATTTCTACAAAGAGTATAGTCGCTTACCTCACATCTGTGCCTGCAATGGCTAAGTAGGTACCACTTTGGTCAAAACATAGATCCTTAACTTCATATCCATCCTCCAACTGTATTGTCTTGAAGTTCTTCAATTTACGTAAATCCCATAGCTTAACGCAGGCATCATCCGCCGCAGTGGCCAAATAGTAACCGTTTTCCGAAAAACTTATAGCTGATATCGGTCCTGTATGTCCTGGGAAATTTGCAACATTACTTTGTTCTTTCAAATCCCAAATCTTAACTTGTGAGTCGTCAGTTCCAGTGCCAAAAATCAAACCATCAGGATGGAACTGTGCTGTCGTTAAACCTACCTCTGCGGTATCAATTACCTAAAGATAAAAAATGTAAAGAGTATGTACGTATTTCAAATAAGTATTAACCATTTATGTGGCATTAAATATGAAATCAAACCTTTGTCAATAAACGTCCAGTACGTATGTCTGAGAAAGCCCAATGTTTGTCTGATGATGTGGATAGTATGTAATCGCCAGTGGGATGGAGTGACAAGCCTGTAACCGGCCCATCATGACAACGCAATAGCAACTGAGTCTGCGATGTTGGCACATGCCATATGCGTATTGACATATCGGGCGAACCGGTAATTACGGTATCTTCATCGGGATGATAGATGACTTTGGTAATCTTCTTTGTGTGCCCCTTAAGTATAGCTACAACTTGTTCTGTATCCTTATTGAATACTGTCGCATTTTTATCATTTCCACCAGTCAAAATCTTACTATGATCGGCACTATTAATATCCAATGCTAAAATACCCGGTATGGATGCTGAATGCAAGCCGGGATGAGAAGCCACAGTCATAAACGTTTTAATCTGCTCCTGTGTACATAATTCCTCTGGCACTGTGCGGCCACGCTTCTTGCGTTCCTGCGTCAATACAGTAGCTTTGTCTTGTAGTTTTTGTATAACTTCGGCACTCATGCCAGCTTGCTCAATCGGTTGCGTGGCATTGCCAGCCGCCTCAGCTGCAATAGCTGGTTGGGGTATTGACGTTGGTGCAGTTGAGGCTCCAATACCGGCCTGCGGTTTTAGTGTAGCCAAGGCTTCACGTGCTGCTGCGACTTCTTTATTTAAACGTGAAATTACACGACAGGCTGCATCGTGTTGATACAATGCGTGCGATAATTCCTGCCGCGCTGTTTGTAGTTGTTGTCGTTGTGTGAATGAGTGCAGCATTAATGCGTCCCATTCATCCTGCATCGTCTTCAAAGTGGCTGGGATACTTGTGGCACTTGGCGGTTTTGGTTTCACTATTGGCGGCGTTTTTATCTCAATCAACTCTTCAACTTTCAGCTCTTTGCCGGTGATTGGGTCGCAGCCATTCTCGAGTATATACTTTTCAATGATGCGTTTCTCGAATATTGCACCAGAGATGGGCGAGATAACGGGTGTATCTGGCACTTCATTTGTAACTGTAAAATTAGTAAAAAACAAAAGTTGTAATTTTAAACCCGAAAACACTAAAAAAAATTATGTGCTAGCCGAAAGCGGCAGAGACAACGCCGCGAACCATAACCTAAAAATGCTCTGGCATTGGCTTCTCCCATTTACACTTACTTGCACAGACTAAAGACATTGTTAACGATTTTTAGGTTGGCGGCCGAGATTAGTTGTAGCAAATTGAAAATATTTTTCCAATGGTTTTTAGAAAAATTAATAGATTCGTAAAAGAAAAACAAAACTGCTCCCGAGCGAAATAGCTAATTTTTTAAGAGTGTTGCCAGAGGTGTCAGTTTTGCAAAATCACAAAGTTGTGAGAAGTTGCCAGCTGTTTCTAATGTACATTTGGCCGTTAACCCTTCCTGAGGCACATGACACAAATGCATTAGGTAATTTGGCCTTATTGGACTTATTGCATTTCGATGTTTGAACCGAATGGACCTGCACACATTAGTCTTTTCGTACTATCTAAACTCGGTGATGTACATGTGTACATGTATGGTATATAGCGTCTCAAATTGCTGCTACTCTCTTTCTCTTCGCGCTCATGAAAAACCGGTTTCAGTCGGTGTGAAAAGATTAGCATGCCGAGATTAAATCGGAAGATTTCTTCATAGTCGAATAGGGAAGAGATTTAGCTGCAACCTGGGTCGTCAGAGATTGTCGTTGTTGTAGTAGCGGCTACTCAACCCCACATAAATCGGCTCGTCCAACAAGCATTGTCGTCGGGCTCCGCTAAGGGCAGACCCAGAAAGTGCGCACTTTGCTTGGGGTCAGTCCATGAGTGAGTCATGTGGCGTCTTTCCGTCGTTGGGCACATCGGCGTTCACTTTGCTGCAATACCTAGAGCCAAGCTGGGCTATTGGGAAGCGAGTCTCCCGAGTCAGACAAAGCTCTGTCCCGTCTACACCGGGGGTTGTGTGCCTAAAAGGCATTCACGGATCGGGAGTCGATTTACTTTGGATGAAACCGATTCCCGGGGCTCGAATCGTCACATACGATATCGTACTACTCGTCACGTAAAAACACATTTTTCGGATTATGACATACATCCGTGAACGTACTCTTTGTCCCATTAAGCTTATACAGTCTGACGTATCACGTAATTCTCTTTCGTATCGATGTTACGATTCGAGCCCAGAAGTAGAAAGGTCCAAAGTGTCTTAAATACTGAGAAAATCATATTTATCGGACGACAGGACTGGGTGGCTTCACTTGGCATTTTCGATTGGTCTCAGCTGTTACAAAAGCGAAACGACTGGGTGTTTTATTTGACTCGATCGAAATTGCTTTTTATGGGCTGTTTTTGCTTACGCGTAAAAGCACATTTAGAGCATTTAGCTCTAAATGCTACTCTAAATGTACATTTATCCATACAAAATTCGTCACCTAAATGCAACTAAATGCAACTCCATTCTTGCATTAAGAATCTAAATGCTAAAAGCAACCCTGTGATCTTCCAAAATTTCCACGATTCGAACATGGTTTAAAGATAAAAAGTGGCAACATTGCTTTTTCGAGTATACAGTTGCTAGCTGCGTTTCAGTGATCGCCGATCGAGATTTCTTTTATTTTACATTACATATTTGGATAAAGAAAAGTTAAGCAAATTCAACATCGATGTGATGCTGATATAAATCTGGATCAATTTGTGATCAACTCTGTTTGGTTTGGTTCCTATTTAAGTGAGGAAATTTTAATTGACAGCACCGACAAATGAATATATACACAAACAAATGTTTGGTTATGGTTATAACAATTCAAGTTTTTGTATTGAATTTTCGGTTTAAATTTTATTTTTTTCTTTTCAGTAGGATTTTTGCAGATTTTCTTCTGCGTGAGAATTGATCGTAATATATACGGATCTAAATAAGAGACTGGAACACGGCTGTTTGCCAAAAGCATACGATTTCGAACTCGCGTAAATGTACATTTGCTAAATGCTATAGCATGAACGCTCTTCGAAAAGATATGTTCGAAAGTGCTAAATGTTGCATTTTAAATGCAGCAAAAACGCTGTATTAGACATTTACAGTGCCGGATAAGAAGAAGATGAAGAACCTTAGGGGGAAATATGTATGGTTTTTGAATTATATCAACTTGGACTAAATTATAATTACTAAAGTTTGATTAATCTTCTAAATTAATGTACGCAAGACTTGAAGGAAATGAAAACGAAATAAAATGAATAAAACAACGAATACGAGGAGGAACTGGTTTGCAATCTGCATACATATGTACATTCACACGATTAAATTGTTGACTAAAAAATATGTATGCACATTTATTTTATATGCATCATAATGAGAAGATAGCAACAAGACGTTGGTTATCATTTCGATTTTAAAATTCAGGCTATTATAAATATGTTTTTTTGCCATATGACACAAAAAAAGCTGGTTATGATTTTTTGCCCACAACAAAAAAAAACTAATAAATGACAGAGATTATTAAGGGTCTTCACACCCACTTCTGTAGTTTTGGTAAATTTTATCAGCTGTGAACGTTCTTTTTAGCTTTCTTTTGTTAGTTTGGTAAATAATGTTTATCGATATCTCGTTCGTAGCTTTTTTACTAAAAAAAATGGTAACAGAAAATTTAATGAATTTTACTTACTCGTATGCGTTATGCGTTTCGGCAGCGAGCGGATTTACAATTTAATACATATCAAACAGCTGATCAGTTTACCAACTACCAGAAAAACTATCAAGCTTGTCACCACGATAATTCGGTAACCACATATAATAAAATTATTTTACACAAACAAAATACAAGAGAATGAATGACCGAACACCTAGCTACCGAGTACCAAGCTCGGTGTGAAGACCCTTATTGTATAAGTTTTTACTGCCGGTTGCACGAAAGAAATTTAAGTGAAAGATTATATTTTTCTGTCAGTTTCCATATTAAATTCAAATAAAAAATCCTTTTTCACTTAAATTGCTTTCGTGAAACTGGCAGTTAGTATTTTAATCAAGTCATATTAAACAGGTAGTAGCAGTAGAGCAGCTGATTTGATTTTTTTTTTCAAATTATTTGGTCTATAAACTTTAAAATATTGTTAATTTTTTCACAAAAATTCTTAATTGAAAAAAAGCGGTTGAAACAAGCCAGTGCAACGTAAGGAGTATAAACGCTGATTAACGTAAACTTCAATGAATATTTTGTTGCATTAATTTTGTTAGAGGTAAATTTAAAAAATTAAAAGCAGCTTGAAATTTTTTCCAATTTATCTTAATATCCCGCTCACGATACTTCCTGCATCTGTCCACGTTAGTAATATCCATGAGCAACCACCATGATAGCAACTCTGCAATTCTTCCCTGATAGCTGTAACATGACGAATTTTTGCAGTTACATTTATCCTCGAACTGCCTAATCAAACTTTCGTCTATTTCGTTACACAAATGTTGAACTTCTGGTCTATGAATGTAGTAGTTTGTCTGCTCCATAGTGAGACTGGTACCGCTCTTGGCAATCTCATCTGCTATTTATTACCCTTTATTGCTTT